GAACGACGGTTAAATTCTCAAAAGATAATTTAAGCCTCAGCGAAAATGTTGAAAATACAAAGGTAGATCGACTTACAGTGAAAATACAACCAGAGATTTAAGTTTTAGTCCTTTGTCTACAATTATGAACTAATGTTACATGCAGTTAGTTATTTGCAATGTCTTACTCGCTTTCTTATGTACTTTTGAGGATAATGCATTTTCAGCATGCATGTTTTTCAGCCTCATGTTCCTTGTGTAAAACAGCAAACAAGTTTTACAACGTCAACATTTTGCTGCCACATGAAAAATTGTGCGGCGCATTGGAAACCATTTGCCCAATAACTAGCCACAATCGCAATTTTCCCCGCATATGCAAGTGGCACGTTGACTGGGGAAAACTATTTATTATTTGCACACTTTCCACAAGGTCACGGTGCATTCCTTCCCAGCTCTTCCGAGCATTTCGCTTTTGCTCAAATTGTTTCTGGGAAGCGTAGTTCGAATCTAACAGTCATGAGCTGGCAAAGTTTTTCCAGGAGAAAACTTGTTTTTGCATGAAAATTGGCTGAGAAAACTGCACATAACACACAATATGCAGCTGGAGCGACTTTATATCGCCACTTTTGAAGGCTTCCAGCAGCTTGCTCATTTATTTTCATTTATTTGTATTTGCTAACCAAATAGATGGAGTCCTGGGAAAACAGGACAAAACACAGGGAAATGGAAAATGGGAAAAGCCTAAATGCCATGCATTTGCATACTCTTTGTTCTGCTGTTGCCTGCCATGTTTTATTTTATTTATTCTTTGCCTTTGCCAGAACACAACACTCACGTGTCTCCATCGCATTCCATGTGCTTACCTTGGATTCCCAGTTCATCATGCATTAATTAACGATTCCATTCAACTTCCATCGCAGCTCACTTGAGTCGTGCGAACGGCGAGCACACAAACTTCAGCGAACAGCTTGCACTGCATTTGGATAAGTCCTACTTGAGCACCCTACAAGCATCCAGGAGTGGGATACCATGCTCCTTGGAGGCCAGTGATGGCAGGCAGCAGTTCGTCCTCGGCTTGCAGTGGCACATTTCAGAAATTAATGCCTGAAAACGTATTTAAGAGCTTCGTTGTCTTGTGCCTACTAACTTTAAATATACAATTAGGAAAATTCCATAAAGACTTAGGAATCCCTATAAAATATATAGTCGTATTTAAAAGCTTCGTTGTCATGTGCTTACTTACTTTAAATATACAATTAAGAAAATTCCTTAAAGACTTAGGAATCCCTTATGTTAAAGAAGAAATAGCAAAACTTAGTAAACATATATAGACATATTTAAAAGCTTCGTTGTCCTGTATTTACTAACTTTAAATATACAATTAAGAAAATTCCTTAAAGACTTAGGAATCCCTTATGTTAAAGAAGAAATAGCAAACATAGTAAAAAAAACCTTGAAAATAACTTAGCCTTAAGTTTGGCAAATAATAATAATAACGTCAGAAGACTTAAAAGATTTCACGTGCTAGATCTGCCTGACAGGCATTAAGTATTAAAACTTGTTATGCACAGATTAATTTAATCTGTTAATTTAAGATTGATTATAAAATGTACTTCTTGTCATACTTGCGTAAGACAGATTGTAAATAAGAAGAGAACAAAAATTAAGAAAATAGGGAATATCACACATCAAATGCATAAGTAACACATTTCTTATAGAGGTGGCATGAAAGTGGGAAAGGCCATCACTGGTGGGCGTTGGCACAGTGGGCGGGGCAGTGCTACTGGTAGGTCGTGCTGCTTCTAAATCACAAACACTGCCACACACTCGTCCACCAGCTGCATATTGACTTTCGCTGAAGTTGAGCGCGTGATTGAGCCAATGAGTGATTGGAGAGCTGTGAATGATTGAAAGCCTTTGTCTGAGTGTAATTTAATTAAACAAATCAAAGTTGTGCGACGGGGTGGGAGCTGGACCCGTGCCATCCGTGCATCCGAGTGTTTTTCTGTTAATTGAAAATACGTTCAACGAACGCGAACAAATATGCCGACAGCTGGGGGAGGGGCTGGGCTTGTGGGCGGGGCTGGGTGGCGCTGGGTGCTTTTCGTGGCATTAAATAATTAAGGGGGAAATTCGAATACTCGGCTGGGTTGCCCATTGCCGCCTCTTGGGCCCCGTATTATTCCACTTTTTGCGGGAATTTGTGTTTGGTAATTGTGTTTGTTATCGCGTTCTATTTGTGTTTAATTATGTGCACCACCACCTCGTCCAAATGTTATAAATATAAAATCAAATACTTATGCACGAGGTGTTTTTCTTTGCTTCCGGTGTGCGGTGCACATTACCAAAATTAAACATGTGGCCATTTTGAAATGTACCCATTTGCTGTGTAAGCACTTTCCCTTATTGTGGTAAACGTTTCAATGGTTTTGTTTCTGTGTTGATTGACTGCTTTTACTTACATGATCGAGCGTAACTGGAAGAAAACAAACATATACATATGTGGTGTGGAATAGCGGCTGCCTTCAACATGTTGCATGCGTTTCAATGAATTGTCATTATACTTTATGAGCAGCGGGCATAGAAAGGCTGCGCATTGTTTGCCACCATGCAGCAATCCTGCCGGTGCTTAACACATTTCCCGAGCAGGATAACTTGGCTTTGATGCATCCCAGCCACTTGCAGCTGCCGCTGACACATTTCCGAACTGGCAGCAGCACTCAGAGAGGCGTCATTAGGAAAGTGATGGGACAAAAGAATTTGCTGGGTCCATATTGGAAACTTATTCGCCGGCAGGACTGCCAGGACTCCCAGGACTCTCAGGACTGCAACTAACAGGACGAGCGAGGCGACGGCAGCTTAGTTTGACGCACGAGGCGATGTGGATGGGTGCAAAGTGGATTTAGTGCCGAAAGGGTCCGAGGCAAGTAAGTTGTATGCAAATTGCATGTTGCACATACCCACTGGAAGGGGGCGCAGCAAAGATAAATTACTTTCCAAGTGCAGAGGCAGCAATGCTCTGTGCTGTATGCATATATACTATATACATATACTGCTTGGACGGCCCGAAATGCAAATGGGCTTTCCCTGCACTCGAACTGCCTGATGATGGCTTTCTGATTTGCTTGGGCGAAACAAGTTTCCCAAGTGCAAGTTTTTAGATCGCTTTGCCTTTGGGCTTTTCTGTTTGGCAGCTTGTATATTATTTGTTAATTGATATGTCGCCAGAAGTTTGCCTCTGTGCTATACAACTTTGTAATGCCCGAATCATTGCAAATCTCTTAAAAATGGGTTCGTTCCTCTGCCTGCCACTGAAAGCTGCGAACTCACTTTAACAGCTATCTGCTCTCCACCAAGAAATCACCTTAAACATGCATATGGTCGAGGAGCAGCAGCAATCAAATTGTAAAGCAAAGGAACCCAACGAATTTATTGGACTAAACGAACTCGAATACCAGGAACCAGGTTTGCGTCTACCTCAGCAAAAAGCACAGAAATAGTGCCAGAAGTGGCAAAAAGTCGGGGTAGCACAGGTGCAGCTGGCCGAAGCTGGGGTTTGTTTAACTATTTTCTATTCATTTATGCATTTTGCTAATAAAAATTTCATTTTTGCTTAACTAAGTGAAACGAGAAGGTTCAAAGCAGAGCAGGCAACTCTGACAAACGCTCGGCGAACAATGAAGGCTTTTATCTTGGCCGACTGTTGTTTGGTCAAGCCTTTCCGCCCGTACAGTGGTCCCTGGCTATGCAACGCCAGTTCTCCCATCGCGCCATTCAGTGGCTGGCCATAAAACGAAATCAGTTGGCGTATAATTTCGCTTTGCCTTCGCCCCCAAAAATTATTTGCACTGTACTTCCGCTTTTGTGCCCGTTGTCTTGTTGCCTAGATAACATTTCCGCCATGCCCCTTTGTGCTGCTCCTTTTCGGTTCCTGTTTGTTTGCAAACATTTTTTAAATTGTTTGCTGTAATTTGTTTCCGGACCCAGACAACAACAAAAACCAAAAACACAAAAAACGAAAACATAAAAAATAGGCAAATGGCCCTTGCGCCATTTTTCGAGCTCCTTCTTTTGGCCAACAGACGCAGTAACAGCAGTCGCTTTGTATTTTTTGCGATTAAAAAATTATAATTTCAATGCTTGTCTGCCGTTTGGTTCAGCACGTTTGGTCCTTCTTTTTAACTTGATTTTTCCTGCCAAATGGCGGCGACAGCTGTGGGTATACGAGTATGTCCTATAAATCCAATTAATCGGGAAACCCCCGGAAAACCGGTGCCTCCACTATCTCCAATTTGGCAGCACGTTTCCAGGACTTTTATTAGTTTCACTTTTTCCGCGAGAATTTATGGCGCATTTTGTACATCTATGCGAATGTTTTACAGCTGTGTGTGGGCATAAAGCATTTCATTGTTTGATTGGCTTGTTGCAGTTGTAGCCATCGCACAGTTTTAAGTTCGAACTCAAATGGTGCGATAAGAACGGGTAAAAGATACAATGGGGGGAATTTCAGGGGAATTATTTTAATATCAATTACAGCAGTTATTAAGTCTTATTATTTGGCTAAATTCCTGTTTACTTTGCTGTACATTCGCCTGCATTGTAAAAGTGCCGGACTGCGTCATTTGTTGACTTGTACAAGTATATGTATCCATTTGTAAGCAAACACTGACGTCATTCTGACGTCGTTCTAATTCCGAGCGAACTGAAAATATTTAAATGAAAATAAAGCTTGCCACGTGCTGCACTCGAATGCAATCGGAAGTCACGTAGCACGCTGACTCAAAGTTTGCAGCGCAAATAGTGAAAGTGGCGCGAAATCTAAAATTAAATAAAGCTTGTAATTTGACAAAGTTATTAATAAGATAGCTTTGCCCGGTGTTTCGCAAAATTCCGTTGCAATCGTGCTGGCTTAAACGTCAGCAAAGCTGAAAACTGAAAACCGAAATCCGAAATCCGAGGAACCGCTCGCACATCACGTAGAAATGCTTGAACTTCTGTTTGAACGGAAATCGCCCGGTGTCAGTTAAAAACCTAATTAGCTGCAGGTCGGACGCAAAGTTCTCGGTTCATAAAATGAGTCTCCCGGTATCCATGCTGCTCCTCCTGTGCCTCATCTGCATCCAGCGCTCGCGACAGCAACCTCCCCCGAATCCGGAACCTCTGGCGGATAATGGCATTTACACACCCGCCCTGGAGGACGACCTGGACTGGACGGGCGCCAACTGGCAGCTGGTGGTCCGCTTTCTGATGCAGCGCCAGCAGCTGCGTTTCTGCATCGCACTGGCCAGATTCGACGAGCAGCTGGTGCCCGGCACAGCCTGCCAGGCGCTGTTGGCCAACGGCCCGCTCATGGCCAACTGCGATATTGGTAACATCGAGGATCTGACCATGACCTTGCGCTACGCCTTCGGCGAAATTCTGCTCGACACGAGTCGAAAGTGTCGTCCTGGCCTGGAGCTCTTTGGAGTTCGCTGCCGGCGGAGGGCTTAGCCTGGGGATAGGCTTTAGTGAATCCTACTACTTTATTCCGAAAATTAAAGTGCGGCGAAAACTAAACGCACCACTGCCCGATAACACAATTTATGTTAGCATTAATTTAATAGATATAAGCCTTATTCTCTGAAATACAGGAAATGTGAAGTTTTCTTAGTTCGTACGCAAATATAATTATCGAACAAAACGACGCATATTTGAACTAAATCCGATCACTGTAACACTTTTTATAAAGCATTGAATAAAGATAAAAAAAGCGGAAGGGAGATATTTATTACTTTAGCATTGGCTAATATAACTAATGAATATTGATGCGATTCCATGTGCAGATCCGGCGCTGAGCCAAGTGATGCCAGAATAACTGCATTAGTCTAAACTAATAACTAATAAATTAGTTACTAATGGAGAAGCGCAACATTTTTGCCAGCTGCTGAATCTACTAATTGTTCCCATTTCCATTTCGTCTCCTAAGTGCATTGCTAATTCACTTTATTGAGCAATTTTTCATCGTCTGCCCTGCGCTGTCCCCTGTCATTTCAATATGTCAATAAAAATCAGAATCTAACACGCCGCCGTCCCCGATCCGCTGCCACTGAAAACTGGGTGAAGGACTGAGTCCGAGTGGCGAGTGCCGAGTCCTGAGTCCTGAGTCCTTGCCGAGTGCAGTGCCGCCCTGACAAATGACGATTATAATTTGTAAAATGCGCCCATCTAGTTGTCCGCCCGGATCGTCAGGTCCCCAGATCCCCAGATCCTTGTCGCACCCCCGATATGTTCGACTTGTGGCCTAGATGTTGCTGTCCGGCTCTCTGGCCCATTCCCGTGCACTTCCACTCTCGGATTCAGTTCAGTTCATTGCAATTGTTGTTGCAATTAGCAGAAGCGATGGGCGGGCATTTTCCGGGCGGCAATATAAGCACAACTGATGGTTTCAACTGATGGCAAAATTGCACAGCGCAAATGGCCGATGGTCGTGGGTGGATAGAGTCGTATTGTTGCATTTGGCAATTACCGGCAAATGTTTAGAGCACAGCTCCAGTGCAGAGTTTTCCAATTTCAATCGGAGCTGTGTGATATCTTTTTCAATCGATTTGCAAGACATCTTCGCACACAAAAAGTGCGGCACACGCCCAAACGGAGCTGTCAACACAATAAACGCTTTCCAAATCAGTTTTCGCAATGACATTAATGGGATTTGTGCATTGAAGTGCATTTTGGCTAACATTATGCGAGGCAACAAAATGTTTGTCTAGCTGAATGGAAATGGTCTAAAAAATTGAAGTTTCTAACCATAGGAATTGTTTTTGAAGTCATGGAAAGTCCTTTTAAGTATTTATTAAAAGCGTAAATTAATATGATCTCTGTATGATCACTTTCAACATCGCTTTTCAATGTTTTTTCAGCAATTTTATAAATTTGGTTTATAACTATAGGGTGGAGAAACAGGTGAATGTAGACCAAACGCGCATATAAATTTAAACAAGTTTCTAAATTGAGTTCCATTGGCTTTGGCAGCGACTGTTGTTTAAGCGTTTATCCGCCACTTTCGAGGACTCTTCAAGCTGCACCCCAAATTATGGACAACTTTGCTCCGGCGCGGCCAAAGCTAAATGCAAATTAATGAATTGTTTAAAGTACTTAAAATATTTACGCTCAAAGCAAGTGGATGAGCACTGCCACGCCCACCGCCCCTCCGCGGACCAGCTTGAATCCAGGACGCTGTGCGCGTGGGCTGCTGACCAATGAATATGCAAACGAACCGCCACGGACACTCCTTCCGCCAAGTTCGTTATGAGGCAGCATAAGGTCAAGGAGCAAAGGCAGTTGACAATGGGCGGACATTCCAAACGCCTCAGTTGTTGTCTGTCCTAAGGAACAAATAATTCAATAAATATACTGTTAATACACAGCGGCGTGACTAAGGAAAGCAGGGAAAGACTCCAAGTTATCCAGCTGCAACTGCTGAGAAAGCGTGATCCTTGCAGCCTCTGGCCCACGGTGCGTATACGCGTTGTGTCGAAGGGTCATTAAGGCAGCGAACTGAGAGCTGAGCTGCTGTTTACGCAGCGAGGAGTGGCAGCAATGGGAAATCTGGAAACACCAGAGGACGACAGTGGCAACAGACTGTCCTGCGACTTCTGGTGCCACCCGTGTCCTGCTGAGCGCCCTGCTCCTTCGTGCCGCCCACTGCTTTTCCAACTGGCGGCTGACTGTTAATGCGGCGCCCCTCGTTCGTAAAATATGCATAAACAAATGGAACGAACTGACTGACTTTGCCCCTTGCTCTTCGTCCTGCAGCTCTTCAGTTCTTTAGTTCTGCAGTTCTCAGTTCGAGTAATTAAATTTCACTGGAGATTCCTTGCATTTCCTGCTCTGATTTCGCCGAGCCACCGAACTCGCAGATTCCCCGCGCTATTTGCATTGAGAAAGTGAAAAATCTATTAATGAAACGCGTCTGGCAATAATTTATGCAGCAGTAAGCCGATATCATGTTGATAAGGCGGAAGGCCCCTTAAATTGGTCTTGGCCATGCGCCGGGCGGGTCGGAATGTCCGCGAGCATGGGGTCAAATGTCTTCGACGCTCCGCTGGCAAATGAGATCGAACAAGATGGCAATCACTGCCCGACTCCCTTCTGCATCCTTTGAATCGCAGCGGGCGGAGGCAGCACTACAAACTGGCACCAACTGATTGCGTTATCGCAAGGACACAAGGAGGACAAAGGAATCGATGCTTTTGGCCAACAATATCAAGGGCCACATGGAAATACTCATGGAAAGCTGTAACGCTTGTAGTCTAACTTCAACCGACCAAAGTGCTAGGGACTAGTTCACTAGTTCACTTATGTGCTGTGGTAAGAGAAAATCCTTTTTTGGTTAGAGTTACTAACTTACTGTAGTACTCTATTAAACATAACATATCAGTTATGTATAGGGAAACACACACTTGTTTTTTCATTAATTCGATGTAATTGAATTATTTAGAATACAATGCAGTATTCATTGTTTATGTTTTTATTAATGCCACTAATTGTTGTGCAATTAAAGTCAACTCAGCTTAAATGAATTAATGTGCATGTTTTCAGAGGTATGTTCGCCCACCTTCAGTTTTTTCATTTCGCTCGGCTGAAGCGCCGTGAGGCATCGCAATCGACTGGTGTGTCGGGTGGCAGGTGGCAAGTGGCAAGTGGCAAGTGGCAAGGATGTGCGGCCAGTGTGTGCGTGCGATCCATTCGGCGGGCTCTTCAAGACTCATTTATGACCAGCATCGCTGGTCACTTTTTATGCATTTTCCCACGCTGTTTACTTTGTATACAAACGAGTGGCACTTACTTATTTTGTGCCACATAATGAGCGCTCCTGATGGTCGCTTATAAATTATAAAGCATTCCGCCACACAGACACACACACTGGCTGTCGTCCAATAAACTTACCGCTCACACCCACCCAATTTGATTTGTATGGCTTTTCAATTTGTGCTCTGGTGCTCTTTGGTTTCATGGCACTCCGCTGGCTGGGTGCTCGTATTTCCTTTTTGCTGCATTTGCCATTGTATAAATTTTTGGTATTTGCGCCAATTTCATTCCAAATTGAGCGCTGCCCACAGTCGTTTATTTTTAATGCACCCAGGCCATCCAAACATCCAAACATCCCAACCCAACCCAAGCCAACCGAAACGGAACGGAACGGAACGAAGCCAGGCAGTATGGACATGGGCTGGTCCCCGCAAGGATGTGGAGCAGGTGGGGATTGGGTGGGTGTGCCACATCAGTAGTTGATTTTTTTCCGCTTTCAGCTTGCCTTGCCTTTACTTTCCAATTCCCATTTCTCTATTGTGGACTAGCAGAGGGATTTCGGCTTTATTTGGTCGTATGTCTGCTTTTGGGAACGGAACACGTGTTGATTTGCCGCACCGTAATACTTAACCAAGTTCTAGCAACTGCAACTGCAAATGCAACTCAATATCAATTTTGGGTTTTATTTAAAATCCATTGTGGAAAACGACGATCCCCAAAAGTGCACTGGTAAGAGCATCCGAATTGCGTTGCACCGCCCACATGGAATCGCATTTTTTCCCAATTTGGTCCTTTGTGTTATTTGCAGTGTGCATTTTGGACATTATGTCCTGCCGCATGCCAAACACTCGCTGCACAGCAGGACACTCAGGCGAATTGCAGTGGCTGCCACTGGATGGGAGGATGGGCGGATGGGAGGCATCCCTGCAAGCAGTCGGATTAGTTGGCCAAAACGCAGCCGAAGGCGAAGGCGAAGGAGGGCCCCAAGTGCGCTCAAGATTTATGGCTCATGGTCCTCTGCTGCTGCGGTTGTGCGGGGGAGGGGGGAATGGCCAACTACTTGGGAGCTGTGGAGCCATCAAATACAATCAAATTGATTGCCTTTTTTGTATGCCAGTGCCGCCAGCAGGCAGCGCTGCCCTATAATGCGATTTTGATTTTTTATTAATTTCTTAATTCGCAATTAGTTAATGACTGGCCGGGGGCAAGTAGCATGCCCCCAATGGCGCCCAGCAAAAGGGGCCACAGCAAAAGGTCGTCATACACGTATAGCACACATACAGCGAATTTGGAATGCGGAAAGGGGCCAAATAAATAACAAAATGGCGTTCTTCAATATCCGGCGAGCGGAAATTTCAATAAGGCCGCCAAGGGAGGCTTCTTGGCTGTAATCAGGATGTGAGCTCAAATGACTGGGCGAAAAAGTGTGTGCGGCAATCAAACCTCGTGTATGTGGGCCGCGTGGGGCGTGGCAAGTTTTGAATTAGTTGCGCCGAGAATTTCTGCATAAATCATTTCCTGTTTGTGTCAAAGGAACACAAAAAAAAGAACAAAAAACGCGCAAAAAAGCGACAAAAATCGAAAAGGAAAAATGAAGACTGAAGATAAAAGCCTCGCAAAGACAACGACGACGGACTGGAATAAAAAATAAAAAGCCAAAAGCGAGGGAAGCTCCAAAATGACATGACAAAGTCAAAGCGACGAGCAGAAATGAGAGCAAGACAAAGCAAACAGCAACAATAACATTAAATTAGCATTTTTTATTACTTGTAGTTTTCGTTGCCCTTTGCTACATTCCTTTGTGTGTGCTTTTTTATTCCGTTTCATTGCCAGCTATTTGCATAAGTTGACACAAGCAGCTACTAAGTAATATTGCGCATTCGCCATGTTGGCCGGCGGCTTTAACTGGAAAATGCGTGAGTACAAACGTCAGTTATGATCAAATAAATAATTGCTTAGACTTGCATGTTCTTACACAACGCTTACAGAAAGCCGAAGCTTTGCACCACTTTTATAGAGATATTTTCACTTTAGCTCAAACTGAAATTTGGACGATCCTCTGGCACATTTGTATACATATATGCACAGAAAGTAACCACTACCATTTCAAGTAATTGCAAATTGAATTGCCGAGAACGAAACAAAACGGAAAAGTGCAGCTCTTCGATTCTGCGATTTTCTATCTTCGGAAAAATGTAAATGTTCCCTGTTGTGCGATAGTTTAACTGTTATGGCTACTGCCTTCCTACCCTTCAGTCAGATGTCTGCTGAAATATGTATGAAATCTTACACATTTATTACAAAAGAGCGCAGAAAACAAAAGGCAGCCGAAGGAGCCGGGCACATCTGCATGGATTTCCACTGCTCCACTGCTCCGCCAGCTCCCCCATCCGCTGCTCCACTGGCTCGCTGCTCCACGTATAAATTTTATGTACACTTACTTACTTCTGCAAACAATGAAGGCTCCGTGACGTGACTTAGTCCTGGGGCTGGTCAGCTGGAACCGGGCGTCCAGGACGAGTCCGGCCATCGTCTGCCATTGTCCACAACTCCCTGCCGCCCCATCCGCCCGCCGTTTCTGGGTCGTTGGCTGCCAAGTGCAACGATTTCGGTTTCCATTGGCATTATGTAGTTTAAGATTTCACCCGGACGGGCATGCATATGTGTACTCCGTGTATTTACATATATTTATGCTTCTGGGGGCGGGCTAAAGTGAGGCATGTCCTGCGGCCAAAAGATATTGTAAACATCAACGCATCTCTGTGTTCTTGGGTTCTTGGGTTCTTGGGTTCTTTAGTTCTTTAGTTCTGGTGTGAGTGGAGCACATGTAAGGGCTGCTGTCACAGGATAGCATCTTTTCGGATAATTGAAAACTGTGCTGGCTTTTCACTAACCTTCTGCAGTTCGGAGGTTGTCACTAAAGAATGTGCAAATACCTCAAATGTGAGTTGTAGTAAATTGAATTAGTTAATTGAAAGTTCTACCTACTTCTTCATGCTTAGGTAGTCATTAATGCAGATGATTCTGTGGTAATAGCGCAATATATACTAATTTGCCTTACCAACTCTGCGCAATTCACTTGAGCTTATTAATTAAGTCGCATCAAATGAGCTCATCACTCATCGCACCCGCCATTAGCTGGCTTTAAGTCGCAAATAGGCTTTAAGTAGCCACTCGGTCGAGTCCCCACTGTGCCACCCACTGCCACCCACTGCCCCCCAAAGCAGCCGATCCATCTGACACTGTGTCCCGGTTCCGCCCTAACAACATTGTCAACATCGAACAAATCGCTGCCATCAGTTCTGCGCACATTGTTTAAGGAACATTTTAAAATTCAGCAGGAGCAGCGGACCGCTTATGTACATGTCCTGTTTGCCTCCGCTCTGTATATTATTTCATACGCACGCTCTTAAGCACGGCAATAAATTTCCGTGCGAAATTTTCATATGCCACGCCCTCAGCTCGACCCCATCCTCCCACAGGATGTCCGCACATCACGCGTCCTTGCGGCTTCGCCGGGACAACGTGGCATTCTTGAAGGCGCCGCTCGTTGGGTTGCGTGCTGGCTTGTTTCGCTTTTTGTAATTTTCAATTTGAGCAACACAACGTGTTGCTCGCCAATGCTGCTTGCCACATTGCCACATTGCCACACGGCTACACTAAGGTAAATAAACTTTACATCAAAGAGTCTCCTTCGCGAATCAGTGGGGGTTCGTCTGCGTTTTCCGGCGAGACAGCTCATCAATAACCGAGATGGAAATAATACATAATTTGGCAAACATTTAAAGTCAAACCAATTGCATTAGACAGCAGATTTCTGAGTGTACTGCCCCTGTGCTCAGCACTCCAGCAACATTTTGGGTAGCCATTTAGTGACAAATAAAGTGGCGTCGTATGCGTGTTAATTTCGCAACTCTTAGCAAATGACGCATACGACACGTGTGCCCGGGCCCAGCTTAGTTGCAATTTATTAAGCGTTACGGGCTACAAATTGATTATTTTGTTCTCGGGCTTTATGATCCCTATTACCGACCCTTCAAGTGCCGATTTACGAGCCCGACAATCGCATTCTCGCCTCGCATTTTATGCGACAGAGAGCGAATTTATCGCCCTTTTCCGAGCTGACCTTAAAAAGCACACAATGTACATAGTTGCCGCTCGCTGTGCCCTTTATGATTGCCGCAAATCGCATTATGACTTAATTTTTATGCCGCCGCGCTCATAACGTTTATGTAGTGTTAAAAGTACTCACAGCACTGCCATTCGGCGGACCGCATTAAATATTTAATTATCCGCAATGATCTGCAGACGCAACTTGTTGCTGCCCCGTCGCCCAGTCACCTGCAAGCCTGGGCAACTTGCCACCTGCCAGCCTTGCACTTGTCATTGTCACCTGCCTTGACCATTTGCCTGGTCGGCTCTGGAAATCTGGAAGTCTGGGCTTCTGGTGCCCCAATGCCACGCCGTTTATGCCCCCGAAAATTGTTGCCCCACTTGCTGCCGCTCGTATTGAGCCATTAACGAAATCCCAGCAGCAACAAATTGCTGTTCACTCGGCCACCAAACGTGGCCGAGATTTTCCAGGGGCTGTCAATTGAATGTCCTGTAGAGACAATTTGGTTTTTTCCCAGCATCACTCATATATGAAGGGTTGCTGTCAGTGCTGCACGACTATAGCATACTGTGGCATTGTTAAGGGGCATGGGAGTAATGCCAACACCTTAACAAGCTTAGGCTGGCCTTGTCGCCCAAATAACTTCTTTCCGCAACCACATGCTGCATCCACATGTTGCCTGTGCTGCGCAATTACGCAAATTAGCTAAGTGAAATTCAATACGCTTGGCCAGGCTTTGAAATGGAGGCGATAGGCGGGAAGGGAGCTATTGGGGCGCACATTATCATTCCCAGGCTGAGCACATGTAATTGCCATTAAATTGATGTGATTGAATAAGCCGCACAAAGGGCTTCTTGTGCAACTCATACACCCAACGGCAGCAAGGGGCTGCGAATATGCAACAAAATAATAATTCAGCACCTGCGAATTAAGTGCAAAGTGCGGCAAAAATGCTGCAAAGAGTTGTGCATGTGACAGGATTACATACTTACCTTTTCTTTGCTGAGATAATATATTATATAGTGTTTATGCTATATCCCTGCATGCAAATAGTCACTGTTCATCACTGCTAAGTTTACTACTCACTTGCATTATATTTGCTTTATTGTGGGTACTTTTTGTTTGCCTTTTATTTGATTTATGTGCGTAGCGGCGCTTTTCCATTTCCCCTCAAATTTTCTTATCTCCAACCTTATCGGATTGACCGTATTTTATGCCTGTGCTGGCATTTCTTGGTGGGCTCGTTTGGCTAGCAAATTGTAAGCAAATTGCACTGCAGGAATTTAAGCAGGCCCGCCCCACTTATATATTTGTATTTAATTCAACAGAAAATCTGTTGCCTGGTAATTACAACAAAATATAGGCGTATATTGTGGCTGATGTTTTTGAGTTCCAGAGTGCCATTTATGTTCTCAAGTTACAAGGCAAAACCCACAAAAAAGGCAACATTGATGGGTATAGGAAAGGAAAGTTTAACACTTGCTCATGCTGCTGTTTATTCAAGGTTGGCTTAGAAACGCAAACGAAAAAAGGTGACCGTCATTTGTTTTCTTGACACTCTTGAAGGCTTCTCGACAAGAGGCGCCTTAGTTCTTTTTTCGTAAAGGGTCTTGGGCCAGTTTAAACACTTTCTTATACGCTTCGCATTTTTGCAAAATGCTACTTTGTTGGGCGAGCAAAGGGTTTTGTCACTAAATAAGTCGCAAGCTGATATTAATAACAGCTCATTATCGCATCGTTTTAATTTCAGCGCTCAGATGAAATATGTTCGCATCGTCAATTTATCATAATGAAGACAAACGACGAGAAGGGATGACCTTCAAAAAAGTATTATCCAAGTTTTTAAGTTGTGGCACTTGTAATTGATGAGCTCAACATCTCCAGATTGCCTGGCAAGCGATTAGCGAATAATAACTGACTAAGTTTTGCCCACGAAGAGGTTTACAATGAGCTTTAAAAATGCAACAAAATTAAGCAGAAATATGAAATACATCCGACACATTTCTAGCCCTAACAAATGCTTTGTTAGTGCGAATTTTCCAATTGACTGGGATGAAAGGCAATCAGAGTCGCAGCGGTACAGACCCAAAGTGTCTTATTCTCGGTTCACTGGCCTGAATGGTCAAGATGATTGACTTCATGCAAATGTTCTTGTTAAGACCCATGTCTGGTCGGAGAATTTGCATTTGGCTTGTTTGACCAGTCTGGCTGGCACTGGAATAAAATTGAAATTGTTACCTCGTCGAAGGTTCAATTTAATTAATTAGAGTACGGACAAGGCTCAATAGTCTGATTTTGTTCAAATATATCTCGGATTGCTCCCAAATGGTCCGCCTATTAATGTTTAACCAATGCGAAGTAACAACAAATAGGCAACTTACTTCTTACCCCATTTTGCGGTGCCTTTGGCAATTAAAGTTAAAGTTTGGTATTGAATTGCTAGGTATAATCATTTTCTGAACATTTTGGGGTTTACGCAAAGGCAATATAACAAATGCATTTTTTCTCCAGTTCTTGCAGCAGTAGTCTACTTAAATAAATTCAGCATGGCAGTAATGGCAGCCGTATGCATTGCACAGGAAATTCCATAAATTTTCAAGCTGCAGCTTTATCGATCCTGCAAGTCTATATCTTTGCAGCGCGTTGACACCGCCAGACGCTCGGCATTATTGAATTTATGCACTTAACGATAGAGTCAGCACTGCCGCAGTGGCAGCAGTGGCAACAGTGCGTATACGCAATTAAATTGGCAATGTCTTCTGGCTGGCGTTGGATTGTCTGTGCGCGAGTGCATAAAGAATGGCCGGAAATGAGATTGTTGCGGCTTTAATTTCGCCCAAATGATTTAAGATGGCCAGCGGCATGGAATGTGTGAATCGAACGGGGACGGCAATCCAAAAGTAACACTTATTTTACTGATTATAGCTGGGGAATATGAATACATGTTTACATAGCCTGGGAATCTCGGATAATTGCACTTACTTGAACATGAAAATGAGTTGGGAATATATCTTCACATGGAGGCGGCGGCTGCCGACTCGTTGTTAGCCACTGTGATGGCCTTCTCAATGGCTCCCTTCAGCTTTCTGATGTCCTCATCCAGGTAAATAAGGCGCTCGTACTTGGCAGCCAGCTTGTTGACAATGCCACCGAGTTGACTCCTCAGGATTTCCTGCAGTTCCTCCTCGTTGGGACCCATGAACGGCTGGCCCCTCAAACTGCACTGGAACTCGTCCTCGGCCAGCGCCTCTGCCAAATTATCCTCGGTGTCGTCCTGCTGCTGGCGCAGGCGGCTCAATTCGTGATCCAGATCAGATCGCTCGGTGGCCATGGCCTCGAAGGCGGCTATCTTTTGGTTCAGTTCCGGATTGAGCACCACGCCCGGATTGATTAAGCGACCGAAGCCCTTTGCCGATCTGGACATTGCTGCACAGTGTAGTTACAGAGTTGACAGGAGTTTGTGGTTTTCTGGGTGGAGCAGTATTTGATTTCACTTGGGAGTAAATGTGTTCCTTAAATCCGAACAGTTTCTAGCCAACTACTTATGAGTGGTAAATATGTGTTGCTGGCGTCCAGAACACTCGAGAAAAAACTAAAAGCCTGTGAGGCTTCAAATGTTTCGCCATTCAAAAGTAATTGCTTTAAGATGAAAACATAGAAGCATAGTTAAAGTGGCTAACCAGTTCACGAGTTTAAGTGTATAAGAATGTGTTGAAATGTGAAATCTTCCAAGGGAACCCGGCTCAAAAGTATAGTTTATTTTTGTCCCTTCTGCATTCATATGCTAATCAAATTTGGCAATCAAGAGGAGCTTTGCGAAAGAAAACCTTCCCGTGCATTTAAATAAGAATAACCGCGGTCCCTTTTAAGCTTCACGTGTACATTTGAAGTGGAGAATATAGGGAATATATACAACTCAGGGCGCGTGTCCTAATTAATAAGACCACCTCGACGCCATCATTGCCATTTGAGCCCAGTGGTTTTGGCTCCTTTTTGTTGGTTACAAGAATTTCCCAGCGGCATTTCGCGAAATGCAAAAACAACAAGCGCGAACACAATGGACTGAGTGTAGCGCAAAATGATGAAAAGAAACAAAGGAGGATAGAGATATCTCATTATGGACAAAAGCAGGCCAAACCAGTCCAAAAATAAAATGAAAAAATTATGCAACCGAAAGAAAAAAAAACCCAGCTGGCCTGTTTATCCGCCCCATTCCTGCAAATCGACAGCCGCCCCTTGGCCAGTCTGCGTAATTCACGGATTTGTTTACAGCTCTCGACGTGGAGATCCTTGTTTTGAGGTCCTGCGGAACACGCGTGCCGAAAATAATCAAAATATAATAAGCAGACTCTTCAAGGCTCTGGCAAATGAGGCATGTAATAATTTTTGCCCCGGCCGAGTTCTCAGTTCCTTTCTGCTGGGCGTAAGATAAGATTTATGGTGCGCAGTTTTGTGCTCTAATTGTGAGGTAGTAGGGGCATGTTGTTTCATTTTTTACCCAAAAAATTACACATGTAATTATTCGAGTCCAATAAATAATAATTACATTTGCACTAATAATTAGTATGCAAATTCGCATGCGATACTCACACCAATTATAGCGACAATGGCTGTAGAATAATAAGGATTTGATAAATAAATGTTAATATCTTTGAGCTACATTTTTGTGTTCCTAAGATATATTTGATATTTGGGATATCCCATTTGTGGGGCTGCAGCAACTACTTTTGCGACTTAAGCACAGTATCTGGTATTCGGGAGACACGATTCGTGGTCCGCCCCGTCAAATTAAGCAATTTCCAACTCAGTTATGGAAGTAACATTTTTACGAGTAGTTCACAAACAATTCTATCCACTCGGATTTTTTCATTCATTCGCTTGCTCTTGGCTTTGCCAGCTTAATAGGCTTTGCACACTTTTAGGTCATCTTCAGTCAGTCGGTAAGCCGGATTACGGAAGGATTCCACGGGGTTTTCCTCGACATTTCTCTATCACTCGGCCCTCGGTGGCACACAATGCTAGAGCAACAGCCAACGGTATCTGCCCACAGTTATGCAAATCACTTGCGGCAACATTTGCTTGACTAACTTGCCCCGCAAGGTGGTCAGCTGAAAATGGCGAACGGAAGGATAGGCTCGGAAATGGAGAAAGGGCTAGCAGGGCTAGCAGGGCTAGCACCTAGCCTGCCCTAATTTCCGCTTTATTCGGCAAATATACGAGTATGCCTTGCCGGGCGAGTGCTTTTTAATAAGTTAGTTGCTCTGTTTTCGTTTTCATCTCCTCGCTCTGTGTGCTCTCGCATAATTAAAAATGTACACACGTGCGCTCACAAGGACCACGTGTTAGGGGGGCTAGTATCCTCGTGGCTTACTTGCGGTAAAGGATGATGATAGGGGAGTGCGGACTACGGACAGGTTATATTTACTTGCCGCCCAGTGCCTCGCTGAAAGTTAAAATACAAAAAACCCTCGCATCATCATTGTTGCTCGGGGCGTATACTTAATACTCAGCAGCGGAAACCAGGAGATGAAGTCGTCGAGTAAGCTGAAGAGCTCACGCGGAAGTTTTTGTTGAGGAAATAAATGGAAGCTCGTAACATAGGACAGGCTAATGAAAAACGTGGTAGTACTTGAAATCTTAACTATTGGTAATTTAACACGTGCGTGAAAGAGTTTGCGTTTATTATTGAGCTGCGTCTCAGGGGCATATGCAGCTATTTGAACTTATTACTTAATTAACTATTTTTTGTAGCCCAAATTCACTTTCTACTTGTTTGGTGTTAACCTGGCGTTCTTGTGCGCCAGTTAGCCAATTCCACGGCTATCATAGCTACAATGGCTGTATAACTAAATGCATAAAACACATGTTGCCCATCTAATGTGCAATTCAACGGAAAAGTTTCGTTGGAAAACTGAGTAAAATGAAAAATCAAACGCGCGCAAATAGCTATCCAATATGTTTAACAAACATGTTGCTGGTTTGGATTCAGCGATGGGAAAAACGATATTTTGAATATATGCAGGTATGCGAAACTCGCTGCGCGAAAGATAAAAACTAACGAATTTTTATGAAACGTGCTAGCTGTTTTTTTAGAAGCATTCGCATCGGATAGTAGATATTATTTTTTGTGGAATTCCGGGAAACCCTTTTTTGCTGCTTAATTGGGAAACTGCCTTCGCGCAGCCGGCTGATGTTTTGAGGGTTTTGTGAATTTCTGGCTGGAAATCAATTAAAATCGTTATTCAGTAATTGCTTGCACGCAAAACCAGTTGCAGAAACAAATGCCATTCATTATTTTTAATTCTAGCTGGATGGATGACATGCCGATGGAATTCGGGTGGCTGATTACCAATTGAAAGTTCATTTCAGCTGTCATTTGGCGGTTAATTGTGAAAACTTGATTAACGTCGGTTAATTGACAGTTTGGCAACAACAGTAAATAAATGTTTTTTTCAACGTTTTGATTAATCAAATTCGTAAAACAGCTGTTATAATCGATTTAGTTACTCAATTTTTTAATTAATATAATGAGATGTCTTTTCCGTTTTATAATTAATAATCTTCAGTTAAGTGGATAAAGTTTTCCAGCACTTTAAAGTTGCTTTTTGGGTCATTCAAGTACTGCATTTAGTTTCCAGTGGTTCCATTCAAGGTAACCCTTTTCCCGTTTGGCTTCTACAGCTGGCAATTAAATATTTTGGCCGCAGTTTAATTAAATGCACGGGTTTTGATGGCTTAAGAGGCCCATAGAAATATTTTTGGCAGCTGTCAACTGGGCCACTAAAAACGCGCATGGGCTTTTCATTACTGGCGACGAGCGAGGCGGGAAACCTTGAAAATGTTGAGTGCTGATTTAGCAGCTAACCGCGGCGATGCCACGCCCACCTCCCCGCCCATCCATAATCCATGGGCGTGCGTGTGTGTGTGTGTGTGGGCGCAGTGGGCGTGGCCGCTCAACACTTACCGCCGCAGCTGATTGTGCGTGACAAATTTGGAGTCAGCAGTTTGGAATTCTAACGCACTGGCACTGAAAACTAACCAAAGTTCGGATCTCCAAAAGCTTGGAGCTTAGGCCCATCAATTTTGGCCATATGACCAGAAACCCCATGCCCCATGCCCCACCCTTTTTGGCCAACATTTCCCGACACAGCCAACTCAATTAGCGCTCGCTCGCACAAGCTTTTAGCCAAACTCAGTTATTATTGCCCATGGTGTTGAAATAAAATGTTCGCAACGACTGCAACAAAATGCATTTGAATTAGCGAGGGCATTAGGCGCCGTGCAGCTCGCTTAAATATTGATATTTGTAAATACGCAAATTACTGCTCTTTGCCATTGTTTATTTTGCATTAATAGCAATAGCTCGCGAATACAAGCAGAATTATCCGATCAAGTTGATAGATGGCAGATATTACGGAAATGTCAGTCGAAGCACCGCAAATGGCATTTGCTTGTTGGCAAATTTCTGGTTTCTAGCTGGTTAAACAAGTGTGATACCCTGGGGTTTTCAGCAGAAATGGAAACACCGACCAAATTTAGATATTCTTAATCAACGTAAGGCACATAATTGTCTTCTTGAGATTGCTTCTCTCATTAGCAACACAGTTAAATAAATAAAGGAAAATCATAACTGCTCTTTATAGTGGCAAGTACTTGGCTAAGATCGCGATTTTCCAGCAATTTCCGCGTGTACATATATCTCTTCTGAATATTGCATTAATCGATTTTCGCCTCATTCTTGCTCCGCAAGCAGACTCCAAGACATAAAGCACAAAACGTGCCTTAAAGTATGCCAGGCATTTTAATTAAAACTCGTTTCTGCCTCTGCCCATTTACCATTTACCGTCTTGCCCGCCCACTGGCCCCCAAAAAATGGTAGCAACCGTTATTCCAGCTTTTGCTTTACCTCAACTTAATGGCAGCTGCTGTCGTGCTTGATTACCCAAGTGCCACGCCCCATCCGCCGCCCCTTCCGCCCATGCGCCCCGCCCCGCGCCGTGCAGCACTTGAAAACTTTTACGCTTGTCATGTGCAACATGTCCAACTATGCCGTACCCGTCCATCTCCTCCAGCTGCTCGTCTGCTCCTGCTGCTCAGCTCGTCCTGGCTGTCCTGGCTGTCCTGCAGCCTAAAGGCAACAAATCCAGCACAGTGCACATGTAGCTGCTCAACGGAAATGAAAAATCAAGTAGAACAACTCATAATGGCAGAGGTCTGGTTGGCGGCGCATCAGGGCTGCAAATGGATAAATCGGGAATATTAGCCATCAGGTCGAAGGAGTTCCGAACTCCTAAACTCCTAAGCTAAAACTAAAACCGGGATAAAGGTCAAAGGTGTGTAAAAGTGTTCTACACTAATGGATTCGCTTATTTTTTCATAGCATACTTCTAGACACCTTTATCTTGGGCAACCTGATGATCTCTGATATACTGAATGCCGTGGCTCATCATAAACTTGGTTTCCCAGCGCTGCAGCCCTGAAGAGCAACTCTTCCGTCGGCTGTGGCAATTTTCTTGAACATTTTTCCAATGCCTGCTCCTTGTTGCTTCTCCACTGGCATCGTCCAC